ATGCAGATTCCTTTACTATCAGATTTTTCTGTGGATTCTGTCACTCATCCAGGACATGGAAAATTTAAAGAAAAAAAAGAAGCAACTGGACTTTTGTTCTGTAGCTGAAGACAAGTGGAGCTACAAGATTTAAACAGCATGACCCGAGGTTAGTGTCATTACCATTACTTGCATCGATCTGTATACCCCCACCTCACTGACGTAAAAGTCAGATAAACTGTAACATGAGCATTCAGACTGAGGTTGCTATAAAACATATGTATCTGATTTAGTACCAAGTTCTAAATAAAAAACATGTGTTTTACCATCATCATCATGTACATATTTAAGTTCTGACTCAGTAAGTAGCAGCTACTCTGTATCAGTACTCGATATTGGTAAATACCCAAACTGAAGTACTTATAATAAGTTTGAGAAAAAACTGGTGTCAGGACACCCCTAGAGAAAAACTTCTGTTTTAACTCATTCAAATGTCTGTATTTTAATAAAATTAAGTGTAGCAATTAGGTACCAAAATGTTAAACAACTGCAGCAGTTTCAGTTTAGCAGATTTTCATTATAGAAACAAATATTCAGGGTTTTTATTTTTTATACTGTAATCTGAATATTGTTTCATCAGAAGTTACTAGTACACACTCTGTAGGTTGGTTTTTAAAACAATAACATTATTAACCATATATAGATAAGGTTAGTCAGGTATAAAAGAAAGGTACGATTGGTTTAGTGAACAAAGTTATGTTTTGCTGGCTGCATCAAGTTCAACCCAAGCACTTGATTAAATGCATATTGACTGCAGCAGATAAAGTACTGACAGCTGATAACACCTCCACAAAGTCCTGTTTCAAACAATTCAAGCTTCTATGAGTCTTACTGTAAGCAGCAATACAGTCATAGCAAACACGTTTAATTTAGTCAAAAGCCTGAATTTATTCATTATCCCAAACTTGTCCTTATTAAATCATTATGGCAGGGTTTTTATGCTTTCAATCTGAGCTGTCATATACCTAAAATAAAAATCAGCAATTTACTCTCAAAGCAGGCCTCAATCACCCCAAAAACCACTGGTGGTGTGGTCCATTACTGTTGCAGAAATGACTAATTTAAAATGCAGCTTGGCATACAGCTTCCTTGGCTCTTCTGGTGCATTTAGACTGTTTACCCAGATGGACACCATCCATCAGAAGGAAATGATGTGTTGAAAAGCAAGAGAAATAAATTGGTTAATGTTAGCTTCAAAAGACTGGAATGCTAATCAGATGCCTCCCATTGAAAAGAAGCACTAATAGAAGACCTTGGTTAAGGCAGCATCATAACTATCAGAATGAGGAGGGCAGACAGAGATAGAGATTTAATTGGATAGAAGGCAATAACTGCAATATGCGGTATCATAAAGGAAGATGGAACTTGTTACATAAGAAGCTGGTTATTTTTCCCGACATTTTCTTTCCTTTTTCCAAGTTGTTAACGCGATGAAACCAGAATGGTTCTTTTTTATTTAATTCAGTTATTTGTTCATAACATCAATGGTTCATAAAACCTACTTTTAATTAAATAATGTATATTCTTTTGATAGTTACATTATCATAAACCAATCTTTTACATCCTAATTGTGACAGTTCTCTGGTTTATTTCTCGTTGATTCTTTTCATGTTGGTCAGATTAAAGTAACGTTGATTGAAGAGGTTTGCATCTTTTAAGAAACTGAACTTTTTTTTTTCCTTTGAACTCCAGTTTTCCTGTAAATCAAGATGGAGAACCATCCTGTCTCCTTTGCCGTCCTCTCCTCCCTTCTTGCCACAGGGGTCAAGGTTGACTTCCTGTTATTCTGGCCCTGCGTGTTAATGTCTGTTGCTCAATATCCACATCCATTAAGTTATTTCTTTCTTGTTCGGCTGTGACAGAGTCAACAGCCCATGACTGTCACCCGAGGTCTCCGTATAAATCACGCCGACTGGGTAACAACGTGCACGTGTGTGTGTATGTGTGTGTGTGTGTGTGTGTGTTTGTGTGTGAATGCCTGTGTCACTAGCCTCCCTTTTTTACGAGTCACCGTAAGATATGAAGAATGCTCATTTTGCTCCCTTGACCCCGGAAATGCCAATGGCTTTGCTAAGCGGTTTGCTGGTAAATGAGGTATAGAAGAGCCATTCCATCCCCCTGTCCTCTTTATCTACTTATATCAGTCCCCTTCATTTCCCATTCCATGAGAAGATGTGTTTATGGATGTCAGTGATTTCCATTTAGCTGTTAAGCATCATGGGTAAATGTGAATAAAAAAACATCAGGGAGGACAGGAATCGACTCAATTCATAGAAAAAGATTATGTACTAAGAATTTCCCAATCAACTTCCCTTTCATTAGATATCATATTTACTGGGGAAAAAATGAAGACTTTGTAGAAAATATGAAGCAACCGTGCAGACATAATTGATGATAATCTTTTATTTTTTTTTTTTTTTTTTTTTTTTTTTTTGGAAAAGCAGCAGCCTTTAGTCAAAGCACATTTCTGGAAGTAATAACACAATGCACTTGATGCAGATGTTTGGGTCATTGTGATATCATAAATATTAATACTAAGAACACATAAGTGATTTCTCTATGTGCTCAATACTTTTGCTTTTGGGGGATTTTAACTTTGGACAAATTTCAAAAAAAGATGGAAAACTGGTTCWGCAAATGATAGGCATCTGTTCCTGTTTTTCTTAGTGGTTAGCCTGTCTGTTTATGTTTATACCAAGAGGCTGTGTTTTACATTGTCATACTTTGTCAGTCTGATCAACTGAGATACACCCCATGAGTCAACTACAAAACTTAAATCCAATCTTAATCTTAGTTTTGGATATTTTTGATATCTTATTATTAATGAAAATATTTTACATTTTCAATACCGACAAAACCCTAATTTACAATCTGTCTATTGGAATGTATAAGTTTGTTTTTATTGTTTTAAAATTGTAAGTTTCTGTTGGTTTCTTAGACTTGTTCTCTACTCTCCTCTCACAGCTGGTCCTCGTTTGTCAATTAGTACACATGTTCTTGTTTTGTTGTTACTCCCTCAGTGTATATCAGCTCCTGGTTTCTTTTCAGTCRGTGCCAGTTCTTTGTGTGAGTTGTTCTCTCCAGTTTGTGTCTTCTTATAGTTTTGTTAATGTATGTTCTCTACCACTTCTGTTGTTTATTAAAACGGATGTCCTCAGCTCACCCATTCTTCTGAAATCTGTGCTGAAATGAGTTCCTCACCTCGGTTAAAACTACTTCAAATGCAGAGTTTTAAAAAAATGTAGCTTCTTTGAGTGTCAGCAACCTATTGGTTCAGCTCAATTTTACAGTGAGCTGTGGTAAAAAGGGTCAAAACCATAAAAAGGGCAAATAGAACAAGACAAGCAATGGGAAGAAAATGTAATTTCCCTATTTGTCAGAAAAAAATTAAGAAAATCTCTGTCTTGAAGTTTTGTTTGCAACATTTAGATGTTTACTGTGTATAAATAATTTGTTAAGATGCATCATGTTGTTTGAACAGTACTTATTAATAATCCCAAAAGATTGTCTAAAGCTACGTTCAC